AGAACTTTTGTGCAAAATTCAAGATCAATAACTACTTCCCAACACCAAGTTTTCCCCAAAGTAATGAGCAAGCAAAGGCATCCAACAAAATAATCTTGGATAGAATAAAGAAGAGGCTGCAGGCAGCAAAAAGAAAATGAGTAGACGAACTGCCCAAATATACTCTGGGCATATCGGACTACGCCGAGAAGGTCAACTGAGGAAACCCCTTTGAAATTTTTCTATCATTAGAATTCCTTTGTTCTTTAGCCATTTGCCGAAATAAATAAATAAAGATTCAGTACTGTTTTCAAGATACTTGACATTGTCTCCGGAATACATGTATAATGCGAACCCAAGTGAAACTCAGGCTCACATTAGGGGGCAGAGAGAAGAAGAATGCGTTTACTACTTGTTGAAATTTATAGCAATTTACAAGTTGGTTAAACCGATATGATATTTAACGCTTGTTGAAATTTGTGGACAATTTACAAGTTAAGTTAAGCTGAGATCATTATTTAATACTTGTTGAAATTTGTGGACAATTTACAAGTTAAGTTAAGCCGAGATAATTGTTTACCACTTATTGAAATTTGTGGACAATTTACAAGTTAAGTTAAGCTGAGATCATTGTTTACTACTTGTTGAAATTTGTGGACAATTTACAAGTTGGTCAAACCGAAAAATATTGCTTAACACTTGTTGAAATTTGTGGACAAATTACAAGTTAAGTTAAGCCGAGATCATTGTTTAACATTTGTTGAAATTTGTGGACAATTTACAAGTTAAGTTAAGCCGAGATAATTGTTTACCACTTGTTGAAATTTGTGGACAATTTACAAGTTGGTCAAACCGAAAAACATTGCTTAACACTTGTTGAAATTTGTGGACAATTTACAAGTTAAGTTAAGCCGAGATCATTGTTTAACACTTGTTGAAATTTGTGGACAATTTACAAGTTGGTTAAACCGAAAAGTATTGCTTAACACTTGTTGAAATTTGTGGACAATTTACAAGTTAAGTTAAGCCAAGATCATTGTTTAACACTTGTTGAAATTTGTGGATAATTTACAAGTTAAGTTAAGCTGAGATCATTGTTTAACATTATTTGAAATTTATAGCAATTTACAAGTTGGTTAAACTAAAGAGTATTGCTTAAACACTTGTTGAAATTTGTTGCAATTTACAAGTTGAAGTTAAGCCAAGATTACTGTTTCTCTTCGTTTGTTTAAATTTGTAGCAATCTACGAGTTGAAGCAAAGCCGAGGTTATTGCTAAATACTTGTCGCAATCTACAGGTTGGATAAACCAGAGAAGATGCTTAACACTTGTTAAAATTTGTAGCAATTTACAAGATAACGTTAAGCCGACATATGATCATCTATTTGAAATTTATAGCAATTTACAGGTTGAGGAAAAAGCTAAGTATGTTGTTTAAACACTTATTGAAATTCGTAGCAATTTACAAATGGATTATTGTTTAACACTTATTATGTTAATCCTTGTTGATCCCTGTTACAGTATATGTTAATCCTTGTTGAAATTTGTAGCAATTTACAAGTAGGCTAGACCGAGATCACCGTTTAAACACTTGTTGAAATTTGAGAAAAAGTTTGCAAAGTTAACATTGAGTAGTATATGTTTCACACTTGTTAGAATTTATGAAAAGTTTACAGGTCAGTATCTTGCCGAAGTAAAAGTTTTGTAGCTATTATAGCCGATGTATGTAACCCCGAGAAGATTGCACAAAGGAGGCAAAGTATGAAAGGCATATATTTAAAGAAGAAATCAGAGAAATGTATTTGAAAGAAAGAAGGCACTTCGGCCTGAATATTGAAAAATAAATTATTCAGACTACAAAAATGGCACGTCGGCCAGATTAAAAGCATACAAAGACGGACAAAGTACAAGGTACAAGGAGTAAAAGAAGGAAACAAAACTGCTCGGCATCAATGGCAGGATATAGAAGACAGTTGGGAAGACTTCTCAGCAGCCTTTTGGGCCTCGAGTTCAGCATCGATCTCCCGAAGAGTTTGATCAAAGCTCTTCTCGGCAATTAGCACCTCGGAGTTTGAAGGCAAGGATTGAAAGCAAGGATCTGGAAAAGACATAAAAAACAGAAAACAAATACGAAGTTTCAGAGTCAAAAACCGAGATGGACTATCAAGAACATGAAAAATACAAAGGGATGAAGGCCAAGAACAGTAGATGCAGTAAAAGCCACAAGTAATGAAGAATCTTAACAAAACTAAAAGAAAAAGGAATAGAAGCTTACCAGAAAAAGGGAAGCCGGAAAGGGATTTGCCGATATCCTACGATGGTTGCAAGAGCAGAAGACCGGTGGAAATCTCGCCGGAATGGGTGGACGGAGAAAGTTGCAGAGCTTGGGAAGCTTGAGCGATGGCGGATTTAAAAGAAAAAGTTTTAGAGAGAGAAAAAACAAGAGAACTTAGATGCAAAAGTGAAGAGACGAAAGAAAGGGGGAGAGATTTTGTCAAAAAATGAAAACGGCGGCAAAAAAGTAATCAATACACCTAAAAGAGCGCATACGTCAGACGGCGCATGTGAGAAAGAGATGACTTATGGGCGCGTCATAGGCACGAGCCAGGAAAGCATGTCGGCCATAAATGGATGATCTCGGCTATCAAATTTTAATCCAATTTACTGGAAGAAAATACAGATATAGGTTCCATCACCTCAGAATGCCAAGGTAATAGAACCTAGGGGGCAGTTGTGGGGATGTATTTTCTGAATACCAACACGTGGCAAGGTGACGCCGACGTGTCAGCCGAAGTGCCACGTGTCCTGGTTGTGACGCCGAGGTTATCTCGGCGAGTCCGATGTTATCTTCGAAGATATCGGAATCCGAGATAAGCGGATAATGGATAAAGGGCAAGAGTCCTAGAGTAAAGATAAGACTTTGCTAAGATAAGGATAAAGCTCTCAGGGAGTTTTTATCTCTTGAGAAATCCAAAGTAAGTACAGAATTGGAGTCCATAGAAGTCAAGCTTCTAGTGGGACTAGGATTGAGTAAACTATAAAAAAGAGGCATTTACTTGGGTCTAAGGTACGCAGTTTTATGCTTTAAGTAGTGAGTTTAAGCACTTGATTATCTTTGAGAGATATACTGACTTGATCGTCGGAGTGCCCCCGGGTGGAAGAGCCACCGCCGGAGCCTTTTCTTTCTGTTACAGGTTTGCTGAAGCCAGCTATTCTGCTGGTGCTCTCCAGCTGATTACTAGGCGGGCAGTGTGGTCAGAAAATCACCCACACAATATTTATCTATATATATAAATAGATTATTTGACTGACTGCCTTGTTCATTCTCTTGTGTTGTGTTTGATTGAGAAATTTGAGGAAATATTTGAACAGAAAAATAAAAAATGTATGTGAAATGTGAATAAAATATACGTACATTTCACCTAATTTTACATACATTTTTTCTTTCCCTTTTTAAATCTCTCCCTAAATCCCCCAACCAAACACATCATAGGATTCAATAGTTCCTCATATAAGAATATTGTGTTTGGATAAATTATTAATCCAAACCTATATTCTTTTTAATAAACAATCGGATTATATATTTTGTTAGATTATGGGTTATTTGACAACTCTTATATTAGTACATTTTTTTTAAAAAAAATTAGGTCATTTCACCTCATTATTATTTTTTTATTTTTTTATAAAAAATTAAAAAATATACTTATTTAACATTTTCCAAATGACCACTATATAATACAAATCTCAAGGCCATATCAATTTAAACAAACACATCCATATATTTAACATTTTCCAAATGACCACTATATAATACAAATCTCAAGGCCATATCAATTTAAACAAACACATCCATATAACATTCACACATGAGATAATAAACAACATATTATAAAAAATATGATCATCACATTATTATAATGATAAATACTAAAGTTGTCTGTTCACTAAACCTAAGAAAAAAATCTAATATAAAATATATATTAAGAGGTTATTTTTTATTTTTAAAATTATTTAATAAAAATAAGTTAAGAGTGTCTCATTCATAATATCACATGATACCATGCAATTAATGAATAATTAACCCTTTAACCTAGATTGTCTTTGTATCTCAAGGGTTCCTTTGAGGAGAGGGTTGACTTTTTAATTTTTTAATTTTTTTAGTTATTTTTGCATGGAGTTAAAAAGTTCTAGTTTTTTTTATTTTTTTGTGAAAGAAACAATATAATGATTATGAGTTGAATGTGATATTTTATGGTATTATATTTTATTAGATAAAAAAGTCTTTTTTGTTTTTTATAGCAAAAATAGCCACCCAAAAAAAAAAAAAATTTCCCAAACTTAGCTTCTTAAACGAAGCCAGAAGCAATTTAAGGAGAAGTTATTTATTGGTCCTAGGGTATAAGTGCGTGATATCCTAAATATGTTTTAATTAGTATAATAGGTGAGATTCACAATTTTATATTAAATAATTAAAAAAAATAATATTATATATATCAATTAATGTATTAACTACTATATTAACAGATAACGTAACATAATTTTAGAGATTTTGAGTATTTATAATTTGTATAATAGATGCGATCAATAATAATCACATAACACTAATTAGTACTAATATGTACATTAACAATACTACTGAATTAAAAAATATATAAAGAGTAATAAAGGCCTCAAAAGTTTTATCAAAATTTTTACCAAATGTCTTACGAACCCACATCATTTAGGTCTCATATGAGTTCTACACTCATATTAGATATTTAGTAAAAATTTTAATAAAATTTTTAAAATTTCTAATATTTTTTGATATATAAATACATAAAAAATTATGATTGAGTTGAGCCATCACCACGTGACGTCCAATTTTTCCAATTTAAGAGCATGAGAGTGAAAGAAAAGGACACACAAAAATTATGAAAGTGAGTGTAGCACAATAAAATGAGCCTTTAATAAGACAGATAGGAGAGAGGAACGTTAGAGAATGAGAGTTTTTTTTTTTTTTTTGGGTGCAAGAGAGGAAAGGATTTTGGGTGCAAGAGAGGAGAAGAGAATGAATCAACTAAATTAACCACCAGATTTTAATTTTAATACATTTTTGCTTCCCATTCCCTCTCCTATTCCTCCTAACTTGTCGGTCTTTCCTACTTCCATTCTCTCTCTCTCTCCTCCTCTCTCTAGCCAGAGCGGCAACAATAGCCCAGATCAACCAATTGGGTTTTCTTTTTCCTTTTCTGTCTTGGTTTTTGTGTCGGTGACAAAGTGAAAGATCGTGAATTTACTCAAATATCGGAGAGAAAAACACAGATCTTTTTTAGTTTTGATTAAATTTGCAAATTTAATTTCTGGGTCTTTGGTGGATTCATGACGAGTTGGAGATATAAAGCTGGTTTGTTCCTAATTGCTGCTGTTGTTATCATCTGGGTATCCTCTGCAGAAGTAACCCAGGTCACACAGTTCTTCCTCTAATTGCTTTTGCTACCCTTGGTTTTAATTTTGCATTTTAGCATACAAATTTGTATATAAAAACATGTTTGAATGAATATGTTTTGTGTATTCAGATTTAAATGGGGAATTTTTTATTTGTGTAAATTGATGACTTATTTGTGTTTGATGAATTGTGAATTGTTCTTCTTGTTGATTGATTTTGATTCTACAGAAGTGAAGGATTTGATTGGTAAAAAAATAAAAATAAAAATTGATCATACCGGGTTACTGTTTGGTAGCTGGGAAAACTGGACGAAAATTAAGTAAAATAGAAGCAAAACCTTTAATACTACTTTTTAATGTCTTGCTTTCAGGGAAAAGCAAAAAATAAGCCTGGTTATATGACTTGGCTGCAAATTCTTTAGCTCCATTTAGTTTTCTTGGCAACCAAACAGTAGGCTAGTTTGGTCAATGGATTCTTTCTGACAGAAATTTCCCTTTAAACCTTGTTTGGTTGGAGTTAACTAGCATGTTATTTACATTCTGGAGAAGGCTGATGTGTCAAATGGCTTCAGACACTTGTTAGTTAATGTTTTGAAAATTTTATTGTTAAAAATTTTGTTTATGCTGTCAATTTCCTTTTTGTTGCGTTTGGCAGCACTTAGAGGCTAAGTTGCCTGAAAAAGATCAGATTGAGTATGTGACTGATCAGTGACTTCTCCAGATTGTGTCATTCTGATCTTTAAGGTAGTAGGCAATCGGCTTACAACCTGAGCTTCCTGCTTTTTCAGGAACTTTAAAGCTATATTTGGATCATGGATTTTGTTAGGGATTTGTAAAGGGAAAGGAAAATGTGAGAAAAATGTGAATGCAATAGAAGCTAAATCCTACCCAAATCCGTGATCCACACGTTTTCCTCACCTTTTCATTTCCCTATCCAAAATTCTACTCACATACATGATCCGAACACATCCTAAGTGTGTTTTATGCCTTTGTTTGCTGTTTTATAAACAGACAACTATCAAATTTAATGGTACCGTCCTTGCAGAAGGGGGCAAACAAATCATGTGATGTGTAGTCTGTAAAATTAGTCTGTAGAATTGCATCATACATAAGAAAATTTATTGGTTTCTCTGTTTTGGTCCTTTTGGAGATCTTCTCTGACCAGTGAGCATGAGCAGTTTATATAAAATTGAAGAGAATTTTGTCACGGTTGCAAAATTTGAAGTGTTTTTTTGTCACTTTGTGGTGGTATCTATTTACTTTCCAGGATGTTTGGGAACATCAAAATATGCCTCTTTTTTTTGAACATTTTTGTCTTTAATGATCTTTTTGCAAAATTAAGTCAATTTTTTTACTTTTTCAGTCAATCTTGTATAGGTGGTAAAATATTTTTTTAAATTATAAAAAAAAAAAAACAAAAAGACTAATTATTTTTAGCTTTTTTTTTTTTTGTCTTCTATGTAATTTTTTTTCAGATTTTTTATACTTTTTTTCTTTTTTAAAACTGTTTCCGGTCCATCTAGTTGAGCAAAACCCAAAAGCCTAAAGTTTTTTGAAGACGTTCACAAGACGGAAAAAAAACCAATAGAAAACCACCAAAAAAGAAAATCCCAGACATTGCGATGTCTAGATGACATGTTGTCATAGCAAAAGCAATCCTCATTTCACTACTCTCTGTTCCGAGAATATTTCTTGATTGTTTGTTAGTTTGTTCGAAGCATCAACGAGAGATTGGAAAATATATCCATATATTGGCCAAGGCATGTGCAGTTTTAAGAACTTAGATATTCTTTACTTTAGTTTTTTTAGAGCTGGTGTTATTTGGGATAAGGGTTCAGGACCTCAAAAAATTCTAAAAGTCTTGTGCAAATCTGTGTTTCTTGTGTTATCCATTGATTGTAGGATTTGTCTTTTTTCCTTGTGAAGTATTTGTTTAGCTAATGTTTTGCTAATCTTTTCTCATGATTAACTTTTGCTCTTACTCATACTTGCAATCATTGTATCGTACTATTACTATGCATAATTTGTATCCACTAGCCCGATCTTAACTCGTATATGTCCTTTTAACAGGGAATTTATACGGACTACAAGCAGCCATTTGCAGTGACCTATCTTGGAGCTTCTCTGATGGTGGTTTATCTCCCAATAGCATTCATTAAGGATTGGATATATAATATGATAAGAAAACGCTCTTGTGAAAATGGTAAAGGTGCAGCAATTAGTAATGAGTCCTCTGCTGAAAGCAATATGTTTGAAATGGAACTTCAAGGGACTTTGAATAGAAAAGACAGTGAAGCTGACCTTCCTGCTCAGGAAGAAGGAAGGCCATTAGTTCCTAAACACAAAGATGACGTCGACACATTAAAACAACACAAACAGCTTACAGCCAGGGAGATTGCTGCTTATGGATTTTGTATTGCCCCTCTTTGGTTTATTACAGAAGTAAGTGACTGCTCTGTCTAGTTTCTTCACGATCTTTGTTTATTCAAGTTTGGTTTTCGCAGTGTTTGAATTGATCTTGTGCATAAAAACCACTAATTGTAAGAAATGAAACACTGATGCCGAACGGCTGTCAAGAAATCCGTTCAACTATCTGATTGATTCAAAACTAAAAGATATGGACAAATGATCCAAAGGATATATCGAAAGTTTCAAGAAGAATAATAATAATATTTGAAGAAACACAAGGGCCACAACTTCTGTTATTAGAATCTTACGATTTGTGATTCAATTCGCTCTTCGATTCGTAATTTTTGCAAAATCGATATGAATTTATGCGTGAATCTATTTTGGAAGTGAATTTCTAGTGAATCGCACGATATTGATTCATGATTCGATTCACTTTTTACGATTCATGCAAATTTTGAAATTATTGTGTCCGACATATTTTCGATTCAGTCAGACCCAACATATTTTTAACCTTTCTTCTCATTTTTTTTCCCTTTAAAAAATTATAATATATCTTCTGAAGATGTTTAAGATTAAAGTTATACTATAAATTATCTATTGCTATTTTATTAAATTGAATATAATTGAATATTACATGTGTGGGGTCAGTTATATCTTTTAAAATACTTTAGGCTTTGAAATAAAAGATTCTAAATAATTCTTTCTTATTATTTGTTCATTGTTACTTAGAAAAATATGTATGCTTATTGTCCAAATATCAATATCGTTGTTAATTATTGTTATTTTAGAAATTGATAGTTTGTCTATTTGGTTATTATATTTATTAAGAATGGTAGATAAGAAATATCTCAAAAAGAAAAAAGGTAAGATGGTGATCTTACACAGTAACCTTTGTTAACTTATTACCTATTAAATTACGTGATTATCATTCAAAATAACATTTTCATTGATTTAAGTCTAAATATTTCATATTCATCAGATATATTTAACATCTAAATGTGTAAATATATGTTTTTAAGTAATTTAGAAAAAGTGGCCGAATCTTTACGATTCACGATTCGATTCGTGATTCGGTACGAAACCATTTCAATTCACGATACGAATACCGATTTGACAACTATGGCCACAACCCTAAACAAAAGGACACTGCCTTAAACTCACAATTATGTTAATCAACTCTCCATAAACATATTACATAATAGTCTATTTATTAACATTCAAGAAACCCTAACTAAAAAGTTACCAAAAATAAAGTAAATCCCCAAACATAAAATATTATCAAAACTAAACCCTATTTCTTCAACCAATTCCTTTCTATTCCCCATCAAAGGTAAAAAATCTAAAAATCCCCGATATATTGATTTGTGATTATGATTCAATTTTAAATAATGAATAGCAATCCCAATCAAACTATCAACAACAAATTAGCACAATGATTTAACGTGGAAAAAATCACAATTGAACTCCTCCAACTGTGATAAAAAATCACAAGTCAAAGCCACAAAACAATCCACTAAGAAAACAAAAAAAAAATATTACACACGAGAACTCTCAATTACCTAGCGCGAATCTACGCCCGAATTGAATTAAACCCGATGTGCCTCTTCCACCATTGTCTTCACCTTAAAATTGCTTTGCCCAATGTCGAATCCATGACGCCAATGTCGAATCCACGCTGATAAGCTATTCTAGAATCCACCAAAACATCAGGCCTAAGTTTCCTGGAATCCCCCGATGAACACCTCTCTTTTTGTGAATAAAAGTACAAAATAACCCTTGATGATAGTCAATATGAAACTCGTTGATCAATCGATCACCCTCAAATCATCAAGGCAAACAATACATAAACATCCTCCGATATAGAACACTTTGTTTTTTACTCCTCACTAAGAATCTAGACGAGTTGAATCCTAAAAATAGCAAACAACGCACTTTATACTAAACAGGGTCGTGAAAACCGATTGAGCGTTCACTTTACTACTCGAGCGGTGTGACTAAAACAGTGCTTACATATAGGCCAACCGCTCGAGCAGTAAAACATGTTTCCCAGAAGTTTAGAATGCAGGCAGAGATACTGGATAAACCACTTCACCGCTTGAGTGCACGAAAGTCTAGTGAATCACACGATATCGATTCATGATTCGATTCACTTTTTACGATTCATGCAAATTTTAAAATTATTGTGTCCGACATATTTGCGATTCAGTCAGACCTTGATGATAGTCAATATGAAGTTCGTTGATCAATCGATCACCCTCAAATCATCAAGGCAAACAATACATAAACATCCTCCAATATAGAACACTTTGTTTTTTACTCCTCACTAAGAATCTAGACGAGTTGAATCCTAAAAATAGCAAACAACGCACTTTATACTAAACAGGGTCGTGAAAACCGATTGAGCGTTCACTTTACTACTCGAGCGGTGTGACTAAAACAGTGCTTACATATAGGCCAACCGCTCGAGCAGTAAAACATGTTTCCCAGAAGTTTAGAATGCAGGCAGAGATACTGGATAAACCACTTCACCGCTTGAGTGCACGAAAGACCACTCGAACGGTTAATCAACTTTGACTTGTTGGCTTCAGGGGCACTGCCCCGCAATCCCTTAGTCGGCGAAGTGGGAAACAAGGAATGCTCAAGTCAAGATATGGAATGTCAGTACAAACTCCTCTACATAAGCACAACTCGGGTTGGATTCACATCTAAACTCTCATAACTCACAGATACAATAGAGCGAATAAAAATACTAATGAATGGAGTTTTGTCCAATGGGATTACCAATAACAAAAAGCCCTTACTCTAAATTTTCTTCCCTCCTAGCTTTATGGATGCCCTTCTTTTGATATCATAGTCTGTCGCAAAAATGTCGGTCGCTCTAAAATGTCATGCTCACATAATTACATGTATTAATCTTGTCATGTGCACCTACCACCAGAGTTCTCAGCATAAAACCTGCCAATCTTTTGAACATGGTTCATTTTTTGAAGTTAGTTAGGATAGCTCACTGTATTTGTGTGCATTCATGTAAGGAATGGCTTGCCATGTAGGGCTAATTTCCTGTGCTTGATCACTTTGGTTCCAGATGACAGTTGTATAGCCAAAGTTTTTAAAGGGGAATGCGTAATGTGAGGCATTTTACCTCTCATGAGACGAGGCGTAAGCCTTAAGGCTTTGAGGCGTAAGCATTTCAAATTCTAAATATTTATATTTAGTAAACGTTTTAAAACAATAAACAAATACATCAAAATTAAATATAAAGGTGTAAATATTTTTATGCTCAAGGTTCAGTGCAAGAAGGAAGTTTTGCTTTATTGAAAGTGAAATTGGTATTCTTAGTTTTAGTGATTGAGCTTCTCACTGAGCATTAATTTTGTGTTTTTTCTTGATTGGTCATTTACTTAATTTTTCCTATATAATATAGTTGTAAAAAGGGGTTCTTTTTTCTTTTTTCTTTTTAAACCATCTACTAGAGTAAATTTAACAAGACCCTAAGACAAACTCTTTATATGCGTACTCCTCATATGTTTATGCAAAAAAGGCGTACAAGACGCAACTAAGGCGCATGTCTCAGACTATGTGTGCAAGCCTCTGAGAAGTAAAGCCTAAAAATCAAAGCCTTGAGGCGTTTTGCCTTAGCCTTGCCTTGAGGTGAGCCTCAGTAAAGTCTTTTAAAACTTTGTGTATAGCGTATGCTTGGATGTCAGGATAACAATGCTGTAGGGTTTAGGTGTTCAGTACATTATCTGATCGATTCCTTAAGAGCATCTCCAATGGGCTCTTAATAGATCCCATTAGTGTCATATATGGCAGTTAATTTAACACAAGCATTGAACCTTCTCCAATGGTACTGTTATATGTTCATATGCACTTAAGTGGACCCCGCACTTACATAACACACTTTAACTACACCATTGGAGCATCCACACCAGGGCCGGCCCTGGCCTAAGGCCAGTAAAGCCTGCGCCTTAGGCCCCAAAATTTTGGCCCAAAAATAGGGCCCCAAATTTAGTAAAATGTTATAGGCCCTTTTTTTTTAGGATCAATTTAAAGGGCTCCAAACTATTTTATTGGGTCATGTATGGTTTAGCCCATATTTATTTATAAGTGTAGTTTGGCCCATATTTATTGAAATGAAAATATATATTAAAAAAAAAGTGTTTGGGTCCAAGAAGAACAATACATACCATATATGGGCCCTAATTTTTTTTTTACCTTCTTTATCTATTAGATTTTATTAGAATAAATAATTTTGCCCTAATTTTTTTACCTAGGTCTTTATCAGTTTTAATTGAATAATTTTTTCCTAATTTTTTTGCCCTAATTTTGTTTCATTGATTTGTTTTGTTTATAATTTTAATGATTATATGTGCAAGTAAATTTTTTTTTATGGCTACAAACAAATAAAAAAATAACTTATCGTTTTATCCATAATTTTTTTCTTTTTTAATGTAAGAGGGGCCCCATTTCCGAAATTCGCCTTAGGCCCCCTAAATCTCAAGGCTGGCCCTGATCCACACACTCTTTTAACTAACAAACTCTTAACATACAAAATTGGGCCCCACTTTTATCACTTTTTGTCATATAACACATTGAGTAATGCTAGAGTCCCACATTTAAGACCCCCAAATACACCTCTAGTGATGTGGCAAGAAAGTAGAGACCCACGTAATTGAGTATGTGATAAATCAAAAGTTGACACCTTACATTCTACATCATTGTGGGTGAAAACGTGGGGGTTTTATTGGGGGTCTCAAACATTTTCCTAACACATTTTTAGCCATTCCATTGGAGATGCTCTAATGTCATGACTTGGAAATCCATGTCTAACTGATTTTGCATTGGTTCCTAGAGGCGGAGGGGAGCTAGGTAATAAGTCAACTGGGTTTGTACAGTCAGCTGGTAGTTTGAAGTGGTATCTCCTCCCAATCCAAAAAGAGGAGGTGAAGGGGTCAAGTCTCAATTAGCAAGAGGGTCTGTAACGTGGACATTTAAGGCATTCAAGTTTTACCTATGACTCACCGACATGAAGCTGGTCCTATCCATATACATGCAACCATGATACATTATAAATGTAAAAAAATCATCTTGTTATTTAATGACTTTTTTTTCAGCATTGTTGATATTTTATCTTTTGACACATGCGGTGTCTTAATGCTTCTTTGCTGTTTTGCAGTATTTATCAAATGCTGCACTTGCACGTACAAGTGTTGCGAGTACAACAGTATTATCCTCAACTTCAGGACTATTTACACTTTTCATTGGTGTATTTCTTGGCCAAGATTCCTTAAACATAGCAAAGGTGGTTGCTGTATTTGTCAGCATGGCTGGTGTTGCCATGACAACTCTAGGGAAAACTTGGGCCGCAGATGAGTCACCAGTAAATGCCTCTTTGTAAGTCCTTCCATTTATTTTGATTTTGATTTAGGTTTTGTTTATAGTGTCGTTCTGTTCTTATTAAAGTCTGTTCATTTATCCAAGTTATTGGACGTGGAATGTGCATTATTGAATTGATTGTAGAGATGTGCTCAACTCAACTCAACAAGCCTTAGTTCCATTGAATTCTTTGGAGAGATGCGATGCCTAGATATAGAGAATTCGTGTAAAGCTTCATCTATGGAAAAGTAATCTGTCTTGTAGTATTATATGATTTATAATCATCATGTACAGAGCTATTTGTGTTTGCCAATACTTTTGTAGCAAGATGTTTTCAGAAAGTTTTTCCACATATTCTTTTCATTAGTATTGGACACAGCTTCAGTGCTCTTCTTTTTCAGAGGACTAAATTGTTAATGATGGTGATGTTTTATCATCTATGATGTGTTGCTGACATAAATTTTAACTTCTGGTCACAGTGAAAAAATAATACTTGCATTGCACAAAATACTTGCTATGTTTTCATAACTGAACACTGCATTGTTAGTTATTTTGGCACATCTTCTTCATCAATTTGTGTATTGCATGTTTCAGGGCATTGACTGACAGTTGAACTTTTTGTTTCTTTTAAAGAAATGGAAACCGCTCTCTTGTTGGAGATCTTTTTGGTCTTCTCTCAGCTGTGACATACGGGCTATTTACTGGTCAGGCATCATTTTTTTTTTCTTTACAAAGTAATGAAGTATGGTTGATGATATTATGCTAATATTCATTTTTCAAATAATTGTGCAGTACTACTCAAAAAGTTTTCTGGTGAGGAAGGAGAAAGAGTTGACGTGCAAAAGTTGTTTGGTTATATTGGATTGTTTACACTTGTAGCACTGTGGTGGCTTGGTGAGAATTGTTTTATTACTTATGATTTTTACCTAATTCATCAAAGTTAATTATATGATTCATATAAACAATTATAATTCTATGTTATGCTTTCCGGTTTCTGTGGCTTCATTTTGCTTGGTTCTGTTGCTTTATTTTGAACTAATCTCTTTCTTACCATAGTACAGATACACTTTTAGAAGAAACTTATTATCAATTTTTTGATAGGTTGGTTATTGTCATTTTTTGGGGCTCCTGTAGGGATTTTGTAGTGTTGTTGGGGATAAGGGAGAAGAAATAATGGATCTTCTCTTTTCATGCATTCACTGATTAGCCATATTCTTCTGAATTAGACTGTCATGTGTCTTTATCTTCTCAATAATGAGTCTAGAAGTAATTTTTTTCAAAAGCAATTATCATACTAGGATAAAAATGAAGGCAGCATACTTGAGTTTTGCAAAAACCCCATGCCTATTCATGATCAGTTTGTTGATCAACTTTAAAAGGTACTTTTGGGCTTGGCTTGATGTTTGTTTCACCACAACATAAAAGATTTCTTTTGGCACCATTATACACCTCAACTTCTTAGGTGGAGGCTCACGCCATAATTCATTTTCCTCGTATAATTTGATTATATTAAAGGCATTTAACCATGTTTTTAATTTCATTTTGTTATATTAATCATACTATTTTTACTGAATGGTGCCTGTATTACTCTCATGCTTATGTCTTACTATGATTGTGTATGATAGATATCGTGATAATGAAAACTTACTAAGTGAAATACTAAAATAATGCTTCACCTTCTCAATATATTGAAATTATCGAAAGATAAGAAGGGGGGGAGATGAGTCAGGCCAGCTGAAAGTTTGTACAATTAGAATGCTTGGCATTAAAGGAACTAGCTTTCCCACATTCGTGGGAAGAAGGATTTATGTAGCTTCCCTAAGTAGTTAGAACTCAGGGAACTCAGGAAGCAGGCCTTGTTAATGATTGTACAGTAAAATTGAAGAAATATGGTGATGTAGGATGAGTGGAGATTACTTTCCTACAAGTAGTGAGCTTGGGTTAAGTATACTGGCTGCAGCAACAAAAGACTTATAGGGTTAGATTTGGTGGGAGTTTGTGGCTGCAAAAGTATTTAAAAAATAGGAGTTTAAGGGTATGTAAAAGGGTAAGATTTTGAGAATAAAAACACAAGTGTTCAGGGCTGTTGGATGGCTGTTATAAGCACTGTGAACAATGATATAAACAGTAACCTTGCCACAGAGAGAGAGAGAGAGAGAGGCGCTTCACCCTCACCAGGGATAGGCCAATCATAAACACAATCTCAGATTTTCATAATATTAACTTTTTTCCTCAATCATTGAGATTACACGTATATTTATAGGCTAAAGACTCTCCTAATTCTGTAAGGACTATAACTCAAATTTAGAAACTATAAATATTTAGCAACTACTAATATTCTAGACCAACCATGACTTCCAATTCTACTTCAATCATAATAAGAAACTTTAATGATTTCTAATTCTACTTCAATATCAAAATAAGAAACTTGGACTTTTGACCATTAAAATTATTTTAGACATAATTAAACCCATATATAATGACCCATTTAATAACTTGACCCAAAATAAAACCCATGGGTGACCCCTACAATCCATATCCAACAATTATTGAAATTACCATTATACCCTTAATTACTAAAACATAGTATAATGACATGAAGACTTAAAAGCATTCCAAATATTTAATTTTTGATGCCCTAAATGTGTTTCATGTGAAATTCCAAATGGATACACTATGTAAGAATCAAATTTGAAGAAAGAGAAAATGAGAGGTTAAAATCTGACTCAACTCAACAAAGTCTTGTCCCAAATTATTTTGGGGTAATAACTTCATAATAACAAAGTTCCAAAAACCTTTGAAGTTTGTTGAAGAACTTAGATGTGAAGAAAACAAAGAAAAATTACAAATACCATTTTGGCTTATGCCTTATTCTATTGAGAGAAAATGATTACCTTAAGGAAATTTTAACAATGGAAAATTTGTGCTTCTTAATTGACACAAACTTGAATGTTGATTATATGTGTTTTAATCACACGTGTTGTTGTTGTGTCTCAAAAATTATGTGGGTGAAGGGAAAAAACTATGAAGCACGGACACGGTGATTTCAAAAAAATAGGGACACAAACACGACTGGGGACATGGCATTTTTTTTTAATTTTATATATTTGCTATGTAGATTAATATTATGTTACTACACAATCAGAATTAATAAAAACTAACATTAATTCTTTATATATATATAAACCACTATATTTAAACAAAATAATAGATCATCCATCCACAAAAAAGACATAATAAATGATAAGAGCTAAGATGGCGAGGGAAAAACATTCAACATCCAACAATATTCTTTTTTTACTTTTTTAATTTTTCACTTTTGACTCCAAATGACATTTACAAAACTTAATAAAAAATCCCCCCATTGTGTCCCCTAATGTGTCTAGATTTGGACATCCCCTGCAAAAAAATAAAAAAAATAAAGGCCCATACGTGTCCCAGGCGTGCCCCCATGTCGGCGTGTCTAACACCGCTATGGCGCCTATTTTGAAGTGTCCCTGCTTCAAAAAAAATGTCTAGATCATGGACCTCTTTGCGGAAGTTAATCACCCTTGCTGTTTTCTTGGTTAACCTGTGGTAGGGATTCTGATTTGTAATTATTGCATTGTCCAACTAAGAAGTATTAAAAAAGGGTCTTTTAGAGATTTAATTTATCAATCTTGTAATATATCAATATATCAATCAATAATAATACATACAATTTATTCTCTCTCTTTCTCTATACATTATTTCACTAAGAATTAATGATGGAAATCCTTTCATTGATTCATATTGTTGCTGTGTATGTTGTGTTTTTTTTCTCCTAGTTTTTTCTGTTCCAAATTCATACAATGTCTGTTATATCTATAAATTTTTAATATCATTTGTTTGACAGTAATATTAGTATCTTCTCTTATTGCATTGAATTCACTTCTAATTTATCTTTATTTTGCCTTTCAGTCTGGCCATTAACAGCCTTAGGGATTGAACCCAAGTTTATGATTCCTCATTCTGCTAAAATGGATGAAGTTGTTATTGCCAATGGATTTATTGGGAGTGTTCTTTCTGACTACTTCTGGTATGAAGCAGCAGCTATTTCCGACCTAAATTCTATACATTAAATTGTTCTTCCCTTATCTTTTTTTCATTTTTCCAGAAAATAAATTGTTCGTTCCTTATCTAAATCTGCTCTTTTTCACGTAGGGCATTATGTGTTGTTTGGACAACTCCACTTGTGGCCACCTTGGGCATGTCTCTCACCATCCCACTTGCTATGGTGGCTGATATGATAATTCATGGCCGTCATTATTCAGCCATATATATTCTTGGTTCAGTTCAGGTAATGAGTTTGTTTTAAATGAAATCCAGATTACAATGCACTAAGTTTTAAACCTAAAAGTTGAGTCGTCAAGCACCAGAGTTAGTTGTGTGGTGTGTTAATGGGATGTTATTAACATAAAAAATCATACTGATCTGATCATTTTGGTTCATCTAGATCTAAGACTCAAAGAACAAAAAATAAAAACCTTCTAGAATCTAATATCTTGGTTAAATCATATTATCCTAAAGCAAATGATAATCCTAATTTTTATTTGGCTTGTTGAAATTAGTTATTGGTTTGTAGTTTTACACTCTACTAACCCCAAGGGTTTGGCCTGGTGGATGAGGCTTAGGACTTGGGGGGTTTACTCCCTCCACTCCACAGTCTCAGATTCGACTCCCCTCACCCCCAAAAACTCTTGGGGCCACGGACCACAAGGCAGAAACCCTGTTTCGGAAGTTAGGGCCACGGACCGCAAGGCATAAACCCTGTTTTGGAAGTCTTGTTTGGATTGTAGGGACTTAGTCTGATGCGAGCAAGTTGGCCCAGGATACCCTACATATCAAAAAGAGGAAAGAGAAAAAAAGGTTTTACAGTCTACTGAAGATGAAAAAAACAGCACTTTTATATGAACTTGGATAAATCTTTCTTTTTTCCTCCATTTTTCTTTAAAAGAGACTATTTAGATATTGGGGGTTGTATATGTGTCTCCTATGCCTGTTCTTTTGCTGGGCTGCTCTCCACTGCATCAAATTGTAGTGCATAATATTTTTGTCTCTACTAATGTTGTGGTGGCTTGACACCTGTGATGTTTGAGATCCTTCTTTGGGCTTTATTTAATTGAAAAAGTCTGGGAACCCAGACAAAACCATCTAGATTTTTTTGGGTGGGTGATTGTGTGGTAGAGATTAATTTGCGTAGTGTGGGGTCCATTAATCATAACCACAAAATGATAATTCTAGGTAGTCGAGTCTGAGTTCATAGTATTGTTGTATTTAATTTAAGAAATTCTTTTTGATGATTGGAAATTTTTAACTATGTGTTTGCCTTGGAAGGCAACCAGCTTTCCACAATTACAATTGAAACTTTCCTTAATAAGTTCAGTTGTCAAGAATTTCAAGAAAAAGTATGAATTCTTCTTAAAAATATTTAGAAAGCAAGTTGTTCAAAATGACAAGCATTATATTTTCTGAGTTGGGTAAATAAATAAATAAATATATAAAAGAGACTTCTCACCCCTTCATTTTATCATAAATCACTAGGTACCTGTGCACATCAAAATGTGAAAGCTCTATGTTGTGACTTTGCCCCAAAAAAGAACAATTAAATGTTTAGATGCCTTCACCTGTTAAAGTGTGTTTGGCAGGGAGAATTTTGGCCAGAAAGGAAAGGAAAGGAAAAGAAATGATTAAAAAAAATAATTATAAGGAAAGGAAAAGGATTAAAAATCATTTCCTTTCCGTTCGTTTGGCAGTGACTTGTTTAATAAAATCTTGTGTGTTTGACTCAATACAAGAATGGAAAAGGGAATAATTACTTCTCATAACTAACTTTGTTAATTGTTAACTACAGCTCTCTTTTTTTTTCCTTGAATTTTTTGAATTATTTGAATTCTGCAACACCAAAGCCTACTCTTTGACGCACATAGAAAGTTGTTGCTTTCTTCTCATCTGGATATAAGGGGAATTTAACTGCCTCTTTATTGAGTGATATTCCAATCACATTGTATACAAAAATCAATGCCATTTAGCATTTTTTGAGTAATCCAACTTCTTTTTTACCTAGAAATTGTATAGATTATTGACATTCTGTTAAATTCCTCTTTTATGAATTCAATAAAAAGATAGTTGATTTGAAAGCAATTGTTTTTTTGTTGTTTGTTTGATATGCTTATCTTTGAATGCATTATTATTACAAAAAAATTTGAAAAGAATTCCCTCATATGTTTCTTTGATGGTGTACATGACAGGTATTTGCGGGATTTGTAATAGCTAACCTTGCCGATTGGTTCTCAAAAATGTTGGGATTGTAGCATTTCATGAAACCTTCTTGCTTTTTGACAATCATAATTTTTTGGGGGGGGCCATCGTCCGCTTTGGTGATTTGGAAGTCCAACAGTGTGAAGTGAAGTAATGTGAAGAAGCTCTTAGAGCATCTACAACAAGAGAAGGTAACGAATGCTTACTTGTACAACTAATTGTTCAAATGGGATTTACAGTGACACTTTCTCATCATGGTCTTGTGTATTGTGCCCAAAATGTAATAAATATATTTTTCTCAAACTGTTCTCATTTTTTATTTTTTTTATTTTGGTGCTTCTTGTTCCATGTCTTTGGAACTGTGACTTCCATGGATGTTTGTACAAATATTTTCAATGGATCAATATCAACATTTGTGCTAATGGTCCTTGTTGATGGGAGGGTAGGTCTAAAGTGTTTTTTTGGGGGTATCCAAATGAATTTTGTTCTATGAGTAATTTTACTCAAGGGTACATTTGTAATAAATAAAAAAAGGTCATAATTTGATGGGTGTGCATTAAAATAAAAATGTGGTATGCATAGAAATAAGGGGAAATTGCATTTGAGTTTAAGACTGGGAAAATAGTCTCATTTTTATGATGGTACAAGTCTTTTGTGTGTGAGATTTGCACAAAAAAGATTTTACATGTAGTGTAATTATTTTAAGATTGTTTCACTTATTTACAATTTCCTCTAGAAAATTGCCTATTCATCATGTTTTGCAATTAGGGGTGGACATTGTGTCGTATTAATCTTGTTTGCGTTGTGTCATTTCAGATTTGTGTCAAAATTATTTCAATACTAATTCAACTCATTTATTTTTAAGTATTATTATGTCATGTCATTTTCGGTTCGTATTTAATTTATGTTATGTTAGCATATCATAGTTTAAAATACCAAGAATATTGTAGATTTTTTTATTTTTTTTTCACAAATTAAATTTGGGGTATCCAAAGACATCCTTTTCTAATTAGATTTATGTTAGAATTTTTGAACTACTGAATACTTTGTTAAGAATTTTGGCTCTCATAGTAGATTTCGATCTTGAATTAGTGGTTACTTGTCTCAGTCGAGATGGTTTATTTATGGATTCCAGTTCTTAAGACTCCGTTTGGAATGTAAGCTTTTTGGTTAAAATAGTTAAAAAATCAGAACACATAATTATATTGCACTTTTTTTTATTCTATTTTTTTTTTTTTGTTGTATATTTTTTCATAAAAAATCAAAAATCAATTAAAATAGTTACTTTCCAAACACCTCCTAAAATTTTGGGAATTGATTTTTTTTAGTTTATTAACTTTTTACAAAATATATATATATAAAGGGTAAATTATACTGACACCTCCTGAGATTTATGTTTATTACAATTCCTCCTCTCACATTTTTTAAATTATATCTCCCCCTGAGATTTAAAGTTTCATTACAGATTCCTCCTTCAACAATTTAATTTTTTTAAATACCAATTTTACCTTTATTGGGTAAATTATATTGACACCCCTCATAGGTTTAAAGTAGCATTACCAATTGCCCCCTCGGTTAGTATTAGTTGGAAAAAAAAATCATTGAAAAAAAATTTAATTGAAAAAAATTTTGTTAGTAAAGTTTTTAAATATCTGTTTAAAAACCAACGCAAGCTCATTTTTTGAATTTACATTTTTCCCTCAAATTTACAAACTGAGACAACCATTTATAAACCAAAAAAATTATTAAACAAGTTTTTATGACAGTTTTTTAAATTTTTGTAAATATAAATTAAAAACTGAAAACGAAATGGTTACCAAACAGGCTTGATGGTAAAAATGTCGTAAAATTAACAAATAATTAAATAAGTTACCAACGTAAGAAATGACTTATCAAAAGATTCTTAAGCTTTGTATGGTTTGATTTTTTGAAATTTTTTAAAAAAATTAAAAATTAATTTGGTTAAGAAATAAAAAATAAAAAATAATTATCATATTTATATAATTTTTATCTTTCGAGCGGTTAGAAATAATTTTTTACAAATTAAATTGAAACAGCCATACGTATGTATATAATCTGCCTAAAAGTTAAAATGATAATTATTTTTTACCCTTAAATGATAATTATTTTTTATTTTTTATTTTTTAACCAAATTAATTTTTAATTTTTTTAAAAAAAAATTCTAAAAATCAAATCATACATAGCCTAAGAATCTTTTGATAAGTCATTTCTTATGTTGGTAACTTATTTAATTATTTGTTAATTTTACGACATTTTTACCATCAAACCTGTTTGATAACCATTTCATTTTCAGTTTTCAATTTATATTTACAAAAATTTAACAAACTGTCATAAAAACTTGTTTGATAATTTTTTTGGTTTATAAATAGTGGTCTCAATTTGTAAATTTAAGGAAAAAAGGTAAATTCAAAAAATGAGCTTACGTTGGTTTTTAAACAGAAATTTTAAAATTTTACTAACAAATTTTTTTTTAATTAATTTTTTTTTTCAAATAATTTTTTTTCCAATTAATTTTTTTTTCAATGAATTTTTTTTCCAACTAATACTAACCGAGGGGGTAATTGGTAATACTACTTTAAACCTTAGGAAGGGGATTGTAATTTTTAAAATGTGAGGGGTGTCAATATAATTTACCTAATGAGGGCAAAATTGGTATTTAAAAAAATTAAATTGTTAAAAGAGGAATCTGTAATGAAACTTTAAACCTCAAGACGGATATGTAATTTTCAAAAGATAAGAAAAAGAACTGTAATAAATATAAATCTTAGGAAGTGTAAGTGTAATTTACCCACTGATATATATATGGACTTAAAAATTGAGAGGATCAAATGATTAGAAGCTATTGTCATTTTCAAAATAATAAAACAAATAAATACTTGATGAATGCGTATAACTAAACAGACCCACCATGCGTCACCCACCTCATAGTTTAGACTTCTCAATCACAACCCATTTCGATTAGAAAAATGCTTTGGAGCATTAAAAGGGATCACTAAAAGGAGTACTAATGATGTGTTTGGAGCATTAAAAGGGGATCACTAAAAGGAGTACTAATGATGTGGCAGTGGGCTCCGCCCACTTTCTATGCCTTGTTTTTATTTTTTTATTATTTTTTTTGTCATTTCTAATGTATTAGTGCTATTAGTGATGCATTTTTTAGTGGTCTAAATAATTGTTGTTTCGATTAACATACACAAGTAAGGCCTTTTACTCTCTTTCTCTTTCTCTTTCTCTTTCTTTGCCTCTCTCTCTCTTTCGGTCTCTCTCAATATAGTTGTCAATACATCACAACAATTCATTCATCACTGAGTTCAGATCTGATCAATCCCAATTCTCTCCACTATGGCTGAGAAGGTTTGTGAATTATGATCATCTTCCACTATCTCAAAAAACCCATTTAATTTTTATCCATTTTTTGTGATATTGTGGTTTGAGATTTGTTTTCTTTAACATTGATATCTTGTGGATTTGGATTTATTTTCTTCATCATCTACTCCGCCAAATCTTCCATGGCAGGACCCAATTCTACTTCTTTCTTTGTCCCTCTCTAATTCAACAGCAAATTTTCTCATCTCCCAAACAGGGTTGTTCTTGTACTTTCTTGATTCCTTAACAATTGTAGTCTTCCGTCATCATGTAAACAGGTCACAACAATGGTGTTGAAGGTTGACCTTCAGTGCTCTAGCTGCTACAAGAAGATCAAGAAAATTCTTTGCAAATTTCCTCGTGAGTCCCCCCCAACCTTTTTGTATTCATTATTAAACATTTTCACCTGTACATAATACATACATATTTCATGTACGTACGGATTATATATATATACAAGAGAGACTTTTTTTTATTTTTATTTTTTTTTTTTGGACCCCACGACTTTTTGGATCTCAATCATTAGTAATGTGAATTATCTTCTATACTATTATAAAGTGAGCACCTCTTATGGTGTCTTGAAACTTTACTCTCTTCATGCTATGTGGCAGTATTTTTTATTTTTAAAAAAAAAGTTAAACAAAGAGATGGGCAAAGCTTTAACCCATGACCATGGGTTTAAGTACGAAGACTCATACCACTTAAGCTAAGTACACATTATAATATTAATTTCATTATTATTTTTTTTTATTTTATTTATTTAACTTGCACACGCATCGCGTGTGCCAACCACTAGCATATATATATATATCCAAAAAAAAAAAAGTCCCAAGCATTTTATATATATATATATATATGAATTTGTCATTTCTCTAGTGGATTGGATAATCGAACAGAGAATCACGACCTTATGTATAATATAACAATTGCAATAGAGACTCTCATATATATATATATATATATATGACCCCTATAACTACCACTCTTATTTCAATCACTCATAACATGGGGTCTATACATACATAAGTGGACCCTACACACATCAAAGGTCAAGATCAAATTGGGGGTCATGAAACCCCCAAAAAGATGGTCCCAAACATTTCTCATAATATAAATAGGATATTGGATTCTCTCGAGCAGACAATTCAATTAACCTATTGGGCTTTTTAATATATTTTGTTCATAAAAATATCCAATTGATCTCATAAATGTTGCAACATATATAAAGGAAACACTATCAAAATGCTGTTTTATAATTAGGGAATAAATTGTTATAATTTAATATTTTCTAAGTCATAATTAAAAAAAATTGTTATAACTAAACTACATAATTAAAAAACTCATGAGTTATAACTAAAATAATATCATAACTAAAAAAGAAAATTAATCATAATTAAAGAAAGAGTATATATGATACATCTTTTTAAGAGTGTGTATATTAGAATTTCTCCATATATAATTTATCATTTTTATCTTTGAAAAAATAAACAGTAAATATGTTTTTAAAAAATAAACTATTCATTTTTTTATTTTTATTTTTTGCTACTGAAATAATAAAATCATGAATTTATGGTTCTCGAGTCGATTTAATTTTTTTAAGAATAATTTACATACTAAGACGTTATAAATAAACAAGATGAATCATTAAACAAAGCCATAATGGACCGAATGGGCTAAATTAGATCATCCAATGGAGTCCACAAACAGGAGAAAATTCATTTCCTCTATATATAACAAAAAATAACTTCGTGAATGAATTTTTGCTAAAGCGGAATTTAAAAAGGATAAGATGCTCGCATCGTGGATTACTTTATTTTTAAAATTCCATTTTCATTACTATGAATTTATTATATATATATACACATAATATTGTTTAATTTTGATATTTTATGTGTGAACATTTGGGGATAATTAGAAATACGAGATCAGATTTATGATGAAAAGCAAAATACGGTGACGATCGTCGTAGTATGTTGCAGCCCTGAGAAGGTTCGTGACAAATTGTATTGTAAGGGTGGGAAGACAATCAAGTGCATTATGATGAAAGAGCCCTCGAAGCCCCCCAAGGAGCCCGCGAAGCCCCCTAAGGAGCCCGTGAAGCCCCCCAAAGAGCCCGAAAAGCCTCCTAAGGAGCCCACAAAGCCGCCTAAGGAGCCCGTGAAGCCCTCCAAAGAGCCCGAAAAGCCTCCCAAGGAGCCCGCAAAGCCCCCTAAGGAGCCCGTGAAGCCCCCCAAAGAGCCCGAAAAGCCCCCACCATGTCCCCCTGCTTTTGTACCAGCTTTTGTACCAGTTTGCTACCCACCAATGTATCCGGTTGGGATATGTTGTGGGCAATGTTATGAGGGCCGTACTGATGGGCCATGTTATCATGGGCATGGAAGGCCAGTGCCACCCTATGATAATTATGGATATGGGCCTTCTGGTTATGTTGGGCATAGGGATTATTATACTAGTCGGTGTGATTACTTTAGTGAAGAAAACACCTCAGGATGCACAATCATGTAATGCTAGTGCTTTGTCATGTCCAGGATTTTTTATTCCCTTGCTTAAAAAATGTTCAATTAGTTTTGGGTGTATGTGGGTTTTTTATATAAAGGTTTTTACATATATATAGGTACAAAAAAGGATCAACAATGAGGTTGGTAGTCTAATGTTTGTGGCCAAATGGTTATTGACATTGAGGTCACATACGATGTATGATTTGTCTTTATAATAAAAAAAAAAAAGGGTCCTCATTAATCATTTCCCACTATAAGTTTACTGTGTTTGTTTTGCTTTTGCTTTTAATATTTTTTCAGTTAGGTGTTGTGGCACTTCTTCTTCTTTTTTTTCTTTTTTTTTTTCATTCACCTTCTAGACAAAGGTGAAAAGCTGTACCACACAAATTATTTGGGAGGGTGCAAGGAACTTGAGAAAGTAGGGCACTTGGGATTTGCTTAACATAAAGGGAAACATATTATTAGCAGCCTCTGGCAACCAATGGAGACCGGATCAACATGATCACAATAATTTTGATACTTTCTCTTTTCATTTTCTTTAGCTCTGCAATTTTTTTTTATTTTTTTTTTTAAATTTAAGATTTAAACATAACTCTAGAGCCTTTATGTTCTATCAAAATATAAGTCAACACATACAATTAGAAATAGATAAGGTCAAACTAACAAGTATTGGGAGATACAGTCTGAATCATGTATGGAGTATTGCAAGTAAGACCTGGATATTGAACTTTTAAGGTCTCGTTTGATAACGTTTGTATTTTATTTTTGTTTAAAAAAAATACTTGATTATACAATTTTAAAATTTTTTTGGGAAAAAAAGTATTTTTACTTATTTTCAAAACAAAGTTTCCCTTTCCTCTCCCTTCTCTACCACCCACAGTCAACGACCCTCCGATCATCTCCAATCATCTTCTAGTCCATGCTACTCTTACTGTCGACCGTTACATTTTTCTACCCTCTACTGCTAACCGTCATTTTCGATAACAATTCACCAAACATGTTCTTTTATATTAATTTTTTGGGTAAATTATAAACACACTTATTGAGATTTACTTAAATCACAAATTATTCTCTGTGGTTCTATAAATTATATTATGCCCCTTAAAGTTTCTAATTTCATAACAAATAGGTTGTTTTATTAATAAATCATCAAATTAGTTAATAGTTTTTAATAATTTTAAAATTTTATTTCAATTAATAATTCAGATAATTTTATTATTATATAGATGAATAGTTAGAAATTTCACTTTTTCAATTAATTTTATTAAATAAAAAATTCTGACAGAGAGGTATTTGTAATTTTCCAAACTAGAAGGGACAATTCGTATTTTAAGCAAAACTCAGAGGGTGTGTTTGTAATTTATCATAATTTTTTATTTCTCAAAACTTTTATGTACATCAAATAAGTTTTTTTTTTTAAATATTTTTTTTTTGTTAATTTCTTCAATTTAGGTATTCAACTTCAATTATGTAGCACTATTTTGTGATGTGAGAATATAGGTTCAACTTCTGTAAAAATGAATTTAATATTATTTGTAATATTTATTATTGGGATATCTATCCGCCAGTCCCATTAAATAAAATTAATTACTCATAAGTCCTGTTGACATTTTAAATACATCATTAAGTCCTCAACTATTCATATTACCCTCACTGCACTTACCAACACCATTAAGTCCTTCTCTGTTGTCATCAATGGTGCTCGCATCAACCACCATCCTTGTCATCCTCCCTCGCTGCCATCATTGCTTACCCCATACCACTGTCATCCTCCCCCGTTGATTGCCATCGGCATCACCTCTGTTGCCACAATCCTCCATTACCAATCTATTGTCTTTGATGACAAACTTTGTCGATGGCTTCAGATCTAGGTATTTTCAATGTAGATCTATTATATTCAACTTCCAATCTGGTACTGTACATGGTTTCCAATGAGATCAACACTTTTTAAAGACCACCGCCGCCTCCACTGTTGTCATTGCCGGTGATTCAACCGGCATTTTCTTCCACTTTCACCATTGCTTTCATCGCTCTTTGCTGCTGAGTCTTCTCTCTCTCTCTCTCTTTCTCTCTCTCTCTCTATATTAGGAAAGATTCCAGTGATAAATTTGTTTAAACCAGTGATAAATTTGTTTAAACTGGTAATAAATCAGTGATAAATTTGTTTAAACCAGAGATAAACCAGTGATAAATTTGTTTAAACCAATGATAAATTTGTAGTGTTGAGTCTAAGGGTAAAAATGCAAAATACTATTTAATTTTTTTTTAATAAGACTTGTTAGGTAATAAGACCAATTAATAGGACTAGTCCGTAACTCCCCTTTTATTTTTCCACCTCTATTGAAATTGTTAAAGTTGTTGGGTTACTTATTAGTTTTAGTGTCGGTTGGACTTTAATTTTTCAGTTTGATATGTAATAATTTTTTTTTTTTAATTATTTTCATAGGGTCACTGTCAGCCTTTGGGCCTAGCAACCTTAGTTGTCTCATTTTTTTTTTTTCATAGGATCCCTTTCACTTTCAGCTTTTGGGCTTAGCAACCTTAGTTGCCGCTCAAGACTTCTTCTACAATGCAATATGGCTACATTTATTTGGTGAATTAGGTTAGATGTAATTATAAATTTGATAAGATTGAGTGAGAAAATTAATAATGTAATAATATTAAGTTAAAAATATAAAATAAAGTTTGTATGTTTGTTTGTGTAGTAGTCTGATAATATTTAATTAATTAGAATTAAACTTGTGAAATTACATAATTGTAGAATTATTGAAACTAAGGGACAAAATAGTCCTTTACCATCAATCCCATAATCCACCCATAGTGGTGGACCACTATTCCAATTGAAATGTTAATTCCCTTATAATTTTTTTAACCAAACATGCCATGAGTGGAATCTATTTCACTCGCAATCCAATCCTCATGTTCATATAGGCAAATAAACATGCCCTTAAAAAAAAAGGAAAGTAATGCTTGTCTCTTATGTATTTTTGTTTTCAACTTCTGCATTGATTCAAATGATAAATTATATGAGGTGAACAAGTTTTTTGAAATATATTTCAAGATATTAATTAATATATAAGAAATTTTGAATGGAAATTTTTTTTCCCCCTTAAAAAAGGCTCTGTTGACTGGCCATGTTCTTAAGCTGGGGGGTTCTATTTATAACCAAAAAAATAATTCAGTACTCTCAATTTCTAAATACATCTTATTTAATTATTTAAAATTTTATTTTACTCTCATTACACCCTATTATTTTTTTTCAAATTAGTCTCAAGGTAAACCCAAATAATAAATAATAAACAAACTAAAAAAACTAAATTATTTCAAAGACTTTTCAGTACATAAAATAATTCTCAAATACAGAAAAAAAAAAAAAACCCAAACTTCTAAGCTCATAAGCATTATAAATACAGAAAAAACAAATCTTTTACATAAGCATTATAAAACTTTTCAATACAAAAAAAAAAAAAAAAAAACTTTTACGCTATAAATTATCCACAAGAATGCTCGTGGAAAAGTAAAAACTAAACTTATAAGCACATAAGCATCATACATAACAAGAAAGAGTAATTCTCAGATAATATACTATTTAAATGACAAAATAAGAACAACTCCAATAATATGTTATTGTTAATCTAACTACTGGGCCCTTTAATTTTTGTCAAAAAAATGATATAGAAAATAATTGATGATACTCTACAAAAATTGTAAAATCCCTTTATGTGAATACTTACCTCTTTTTTGATGGGTTGCTTAAAAAAATTATTTTGATTATTATTCTCATCTATTATTTAATTTTGTTCAAACTTTTTTCTAGGGTTTAGGGTTTTAAAATAATAAAAAATGACGATTTTGATGATGAGGGTGAATTTTGGTAGAGTGAATTGGAGTTTTGGAGGGAGGAAGGAGAAGAAGAAGAAGAAATAATTTTGATCTCTTAAAGAAGAAGATACAAAGATTTACATAGGAATAACTGATTAGGGTATATTATGAGAAAAAAAATTATTTTAAAATTTAATATGTATTATCCTTATTAGTAAATTCATATGACGATATAATAAGAATTAAAATTTATGAATTTTAATTGAGCGTATTGAATTATATTTCAGATTCAAATAGGATCCCCTGAACTTGGGGCTTTTAAGTGAAAAGTGGGCCCATAAAATACTTTCTGAAGGCCCAAGCTGATTAGAATTTTTGTTTGATATATACCAGGAGGAATCCGAGGCTTAGGAAGACCCGGACAATCTGAGCATAATATCACCGAACTTTATTATGCTTTCCGTAAATTATGATTCTTCTTTCGATAATGATGAAGCTTGTAAGAACTGTTTATACTAATTTTTATTTGGGTGAAGTTTCTATAAATTTTAAATTGTAATTTTGTGAATTGTTTGACATATATATATATTTTTTTCTTATGAATTTAAAGGTCTTATTTTAGTGTGAATTATATAAGGGCTAATAAATGCTTGTGTTATGTGCTGAGAGATACATATGGATTTTTTTATAATGTTAAAATTACTAAACGTAACACTTTAAAAAAACTATTTAGTGTACTTTTCTTAAATATAATACTCCAATATAATACTAAAAAAACGTAACACTCTAATGTAATATCAAAAAAAAAAATTATATTTTTTTCAAATGTAATAACGTAACATTTCAAAAAAAAAAAACTTCTTAATTTACTTTTATCACATGTAACATTCCAATCAGTGTAACACACAAAAACTCATTATATATTTTTCAAACGTAGCACTCTAATGAAACATATTAAAAAACTCTTTAGTATAATTTTCTCAAATTTAATAATGTAACATTTAAAAAAAAAAAATTCCTTAATGCACTTTTTCCAAACGTAACATTTCAATATAACACACTAGAAAACTTTTTAATGTATTTTTCTCAAATATAACGATGTAATATTCTAAAAGAACTCCTTAGTATATATATATATATATATATATTTTCCAAATGTAATATTCGTATTAATGTAACACGCAAAAATTCTTTAATATGTTTTTTTTTTCAAACACAGTACTGTAATGTAATACTCCAGTGTAACACCAAAAAATCATACTAACAGAAATGTAAATTTCAATATTCGACAACTAACACTTCAACTATCAATCCCCCCAAAAAAGAATCTTTTAGCCTCACATTTTCCTTCCCATCCCAAAAACGCATCAAAAATTAAAAAAATAAATCACAAAAAAGCATTTACTCAAACTCAAATAATACCAAATTAAAT